GTCCGGTCTAGGTCTAGGCTAGAGTAGGAAGTCTATAAGGAGTTTAGGAAAATCGGTTGGGGACTTTTGGCTTTTCATTTTTCGCGTGCAGCGTTGGGGGCCAACCTGTGTAGCATCGTGTTCGGGTTCGGTGACCGAACCCGAACGTTCGGGACCGAACGCGAACGAGCGCCGAAACTCTCCGAACGCGAACATAAAAATATTAAAAAACAAAAAAAAACAAAAAAAAGTTCTCCAAAAAATCTGAAAAAAATATATGTTATGTAAAATAATAATACAAACAACTTTTGCCTTGGAGGTACAGTCAAATTCGTAACCAAACTCGAGTTAAAAATCAAAAACCAAAAAACAAAGTTTTTTTTTTTTTTTTTTTTTGAATATGTTCGACCGACCACGTTTGGGTGACGTTCGGCCGAACACCCGAACATGTTCGGATGTTCGGAAAAGCTCCGAACATGTTCGATGTGCTACACAGGGGCCAACCAAGTTGTGCAGCGCTGAAAGTCTACAGCGGCACCTGAGACTTCAGCTACGTGAGGCAGCCATAGCCGGCTCCCTGAGACAGCCATAGCTGGAGCTGGTCTCAGCGCATCTACCCTCTGGGGGTATCTACGCTCGGGAGGGCTATTCAGAGGCTCTTCGCTGGGTACATGTGGGCGCTGCTGCTACGGTAGCAGCCTGGCAGCCATAGCTGCCTTCTTCATCGTCAGAGTGACTCATTGGCACTGGGGACCACACCGCTGTTCATGATCTTCATCTGGGTGTATGGCGCTGGCCTTTGGGAGGCTGTTTTAGTGCAGCGCTAGACTCTGAGAGTGGAGTAGTGAGTGGAGTGTGTGGTACTGGGGTGGCGAGACATTGGGTTGAACTCTGTAATGATAATTGAGGTTAATTGAGTTGAGTTGGCTCATCATCTGTGCTATATTCCAATTGTGATCTTCGCAGTGTCATATTGTGATTGGTTGTTGGGCGTGTGTCAGAGAGAGAAAGAAACACTGTGTGTAATCTCCCCGTCTGTGCATTGTTGCTATTCCGCTGCTTATCTCTGGTCTGTGTGCAGTTGGACTCTGTCTCCTCCTCCCCTTTGTCTCATGCATGTATGGGCGTGTGTGAGTTCTTCTGTGTGTGAGTGGCAAACAAANTGGTCTGTGTGCAGTTGGACTCTGTCTCCTCCTCCCCTTTGTCTCATGCATGTATGGGCGTGTGTGAGTTCTTCTGTGTGTGAGTGGCAAACAAATTGTCAGGCAACCAAGTTCATAAGATTCATCTTCCTGGCTGACACTGCATTAAGAAGGCCCCTGTTGGGGTACCGGTTGGACGTGGACTTCATCTGGAGGGTGGCTATGGTGAGAGGACAGGGGACAGGCATATTAACAGTCACATTGTCCCGTGAAAATCTGTGCTAGGCATGGATGAGCCGCCATAGCTAGATGCCATACGAAGTGAGGAGGAGAGTGAAAGGAGGCTAGAGGAGAGCTCTTTCCACACTGGCGAAAGGAATAGAGGAGAGCACTGGCAGTAAGGGGAATCATGCGGAAATTGATTCTTGAATTTCTTGTTCATTCATTCATTGTTTTATTTCTGACTATTTATTGTTAGTAACGAAGAGGAGGAGGTTATGTGAGGGAGATGACAAGATGACATTGGCTCAAAAAAAACAGAAAAAAAAAAAGAATTGCCTAGTTCACTGGAGAATCTAGCACTTCTTTACACACCATGTAGATTATAGCTTAACTTCCTACCTTGCTGAACCATGGCAAATAATACTTTGGAACCTGTCGTGTATCATGGCTTGCACAAACACAAAGACACACACACCTCTTTTACACCCTACCATTGCTTGCAATGTACAACAATGGGGGTTCCACCCTCTGATACTGGAAGCACACCTGTTCATAAATTTCAACTGTTGCCGCAGCCACTCTTGGTCCAAGCTTCATGGTGTCCGGGTCCATTTGTGCGAAATGGGCAATAACTACTGCTGAGAAGATGGAAAGTAGAGTATCGCGAGCTGGCATCTGAACTGCAAATGTGGCAAAATGCCGCTGCATTCGAGGATTAATGGTAAATGACCCAGCTGTTGGATTCATGCATGCAAGGTATTGCGTGCTCAGTATCTCTTTCATCACAACCTTCTGCTTGTCAAACCAGCCATTATAATCAATTGACTGACGAACCAGCTCAATTGCTGGTTGTGTGTTGTACTTGTCAACAGCTGGCATGTTGAGGTCATCAAGAAAGTATATCAATCGTCTTCCTGCGGTGGGTCCATATCTAGAACCACTCTTCTTCTCAAGTGGTGTTTCCATAATTTTCTGCACAGTGTCAAGTCATCAACCATAAAGATAAAAATCTCGAAGTTATTAAAACTGGCCAACCACAAAGTTAAGAAGTTATTAAAACTGTTCAACCATAGAGATAAGATGTTACTGAAACAGTAACTGTTAACAAGCGATAGGGAATACTGAAGACACGCTTGGGAGAGAGAAGAGGCCTGCGGGTGCAAGAAGCTGACCTGGTGGATGGTTGCTGAAGTTACAGAAACGGTAACTGTTAACAAGCGGTAGGAAAGACTGAAGCCAAACTTGGGAGAGAGAAGAGGCCTGCGCGTGGAAGAAGCTGATCTGGTGGATGGCCGCTAGAACTGGATTGAAATAGATGACTCCAAGACTGCAAGGGACTGAGATTTGTCAGTCAAGGCTTCATTCCTTTGGCACTGGAGTTCTGGGAGGTCTGGCAAGGAGAGAGTTCGGATTGACTTAGGCTGGAGAACTCAGAGAGAAGATTCCTTGCGGGAAAGAAGAGTCCACCTCAGCCAGGATTGGTGAGAGTTACCGAAATGAGGAAGAAGACTCGGAAGAAGTGAAGAGAGACTTCAAGACACTGAGACTTGTTGTTAGTATTAGGAGTCCACTCTGTGTTCCGGTTCATTCTCTTTGCTCGCATGTGGATTGTCATTTGCTGTTAGCATTGGTTCAGTAAATTTATTCAATGCTTGGATGACAGTGCTGTGACAAGTGATTATGTTGAACAGGTTCATTGCTTGTTTTCTTTTCTTTTTTTTGAAGGGGCTGGTCCTCGACATTATTGTATCCATTTGGTTTCATCAGGATTCAAGTGATGAGTCATGATGGGTTTACGAACGGTTACATGTGTGTACCATTCAGTCACATGGGCCGGGGCTGCTGGGATACCTTTCTTTCTCTCTTTCTTTTTTTAAACACAGGTCCTTATGCTCCCGGCTCCATATCCATTATGGGGAGCGTCCGTCCGGTTCCTATTCCCCCGGCAAGTCAGAATAACAGAATTACATCATTGCAGACACATACACCCCCTTCCGTCTGGCCGAAGGGTCCCCGATCAGCATTGATTACTCCATTTTGTTGGAGGATTGACTGTCAGCTTGCCTTTCCCTGTGTTCCCTCTCAGATCTCTCTGTGGAAATCTGTCAGATAAACAATAATGCAAGGAGAACAGAGAACAGCCACTGAAGTGGCCCTGAACCACCTCATGTGGCTCTGAAGTTTTGTTGATCAGACCCGTGAACGCTTCTTGTCCCCTGGTGGGTAGTAGAGTTGTGCCAGTCTTTCCATCTTATCTGCAGTCCATTAACATCAGCTATCTTCCCTTGAACCAGCCATACCCTCCTGAACTTAGTTGTCAATTCTCGCTGCTTCTCCGGGTTCTGCTGAATTTGGAGCTGGACCTTCTTCCATTGACAAGGGATCTCCGTCTCCATTAATAATCTCGTCGTTGCCCACACCTGTTCACTCGGATTGCTGGACTTGTCTATGGTTCTGTTGCACCTCTCCTTCCATATGGCCTAGAGTGTCACCTTCCTGATTAATCCAAACCAGATGCATTCAGACTTGTTAAATTGAGAAGGGACGTTAGTCCATAGGAGTAGATGGATTGGGTGTTCAGGAAGGGAAGAGGGGAATGGTGGTCCCACAGGACTGAGGCGCTCGGCCACTGGTCAGTAGCGAACTTGCAGGTTATCAAACAGTGTATCCGGTCCTCCTGTTCGTTGTCTGAACACCCCAGACATTGCTCTGAGCTATTTGGGTCGCTATTCTTCCTTCGTACATGTAGCCAGGTGTTCACTGGGAGAGCAGTGTAGGTGATGAGCCATTGAAAGCTTCTAATTTTGACTGGGCGTATGGACTTATACTTCCGCCAAGGAATGTCGGAGATTGGTTTCATTCTCTGTCCTAGTAATTTGTTCCATCTTTCTTTAATTACCGGCTCTGGGTCCTTGGTCTTTAGAAGCATCCTATACCCCTTTTTGACTGTGTACTGCGTAATGTGAATGGGAATCTTGTAGAATCTGTTGTTAGCTGAGGACCACGCCCATTCATCTGGGTCGAATTCAGGGTTTTGGATAACTGTGTCCATTTGGAATATGGTTTTTGGCCAGATGGCCCAGATGCCTATTACTCTTATTTTTTGGAGAGTGAAGGAGTTCAGAGTTGATACATTACCAGGCCCAAGCATCAAGGGGGACTGGGCATATTAAACCCCACGATACAATTTCAAGCACTGCAACACAAATGGATAATAAAACTCCTCTTCAACAGAGAATTGCCATGGCACGAGATGGCCCTGCACCAGATCCGAAACTTGGTTCCTTTCAAAGTAGACCCAACCATTGAAGGGTACACATTGGCTACTCAATCCTTCCTGGAACCCAAGAAGAAGAGAGGGGGGAGGACAGGCAAAAGACAAGGACCCCACAAGCGAGCACTGGGCCACATTAATAAAACACTGGAGAACATGCCTCCCGCAAAAAATAAGAACACCAAGAATAAGAGAAGAAGTCCTAAGGCAGCCGCTGTTTGGAAACCCCTTGCTTACGGACCAAAACCATAAACCATGGTCCCTGAACACAAAAGGCAAGCATTGGAGGAAGTGGATGATCAAGGGAGTGTGGAAAATAGAGCACATTTGGAACTCAGAGCATAACAGATGGTTGACAGAACAAGACCTCAGAACTAAACTCAAAGGAACCCACAATCTGAAGGAACAGTTAGCAAAAATTCTAGAAAGTGTACCATTAAAATGGGTTCTCCTCCTGAAAAGCAAAAAAAATTGGGCGATAGGGGACTGGGCCACAAAAATTGATTCGGAAGAAAACCCCCCAACCAGAGCGTATAAATTGCTCCAAATAAAAGATGGGCAGGAAGGAAAAGCAGCGTTCATGGCTTACGAACTAGAAGAAACACATAAATCTTGGGTAGCATTAGGCAGAATAATAGAATCAGGGAGAACAGAAAACCTCAATACCCTCAAAAGGGCACGCGCATGTACAATAAAAAAATACAGAAACCCAAACCCCGCAAAGCAAACAGACATAAGCGGAACCAGGCTGTACAGACCAGACCTAGACATCAAAGATCTAGAAGTAGACGCAGCGGAATGGGGATGGATGGTACCTAGTGTTTCAGGGAAAGCCAAGAAGCTCACCCCAATATATGATTATGAAGTCAAAATAGGATACAAACTGGGCAATTGCACAAGGGACCCCCTCCCAGTAATCTCAGAAAGGTGGAAAAGAAACTTGGGAGAAAACGCAGGTTGGGCGAATAAAATTCCTTGGAACCAGTATACAAATATAAGACTGGTAAGGATCAGAAGCCTACAGTGGCTTATTCTGTATTGGCGGTGCCAGTCAACCAATGGTTGGCCAAAAGGAGAAAACAGCAAGATTCCCAGCAACAAATGTCCATGTGCAAAGTCTGTAACGACCAAGCAGAAGAATCCCTTGTACATTGCCTAATAACATGCCAACAGGCTCAGGAAGTGTGGAACAAAACCAGAAACAGCTGGCAAAGGTTAACAAACCAAAACCTCCCTAGCAACTCTGTATATTTGCTAACGGGAGGACGAGAAACAGAAGCACTAGAGGAATCTACACTACTGTTGGCAGACTTATGGAGGAGAGCAGCACTCTGGGCAATATGGAAAGCAAGGTGCAAGGGCACTCTAGAGGGACAAACGACATCTCTAGAGGAGAAATGGGCCGTAATAAAAAACATAATACAAACGGAAGTAAGAGCACGCTGGACCCAAGAACAAAAAGATCAACAAAGGTTAATAACACCGGACAAAAAAGAACTGAGTCTGCGGAAATTCAAAAAAACATGGCTTTTGGAGAACAGAATTGCAAAAGTTGAGGGAAGCACTCTACTTTTCACTGACTGGGACTAACAAGAAGGAGATCTTTCCATAATGCCTGACCATCCTCAGCTGATCCCCAACCTCGGCCTGGACTAAGTTCTTTCTAACTCATGCAGTCGCAGCCTCAAGGCAATAGTATCCAGTCCTCACCATCTTAGTTAACACATATCCCCCACGGAAAAGTACTGGAGGGAAGCAGTGACAAGTCTCAACTAACCTCACTTCTCGGTCCAACAACTACGCGCTCCACTAGACTAACATCCCAAAAGACTCATGACAGACAGAAGGGAACAGCGCTCTTCTCAATAGAAAAACGTCTCGGAGGAACAGCGGGAAAGAGAAAGGCAACGGTACAGCAGAAGAAGGGCTCCAGCACAAAGAGCAGACAGAAACAGGAACAGCTGATCAGCAGGGACTTCATGCAGATGGGGCCTTTCCAAACAAACCAAGATGAAAGAGGAGGAACATCAGTGTAAACAGGACAAGGAAGGCCAACAAAGGGGGAACTGAGAGGGCGAAAAGGTAGTATCGAGAGGGAGGACAGAGCAGCAGCCCGGAACAGACTCAGGAAAGTGGAAGGGGAGGAACAATACGGGAGTGAGATCTCACTGCAGAAGTACAGGCTGGGGAAGCAGACACGATACAGCAAGAAGAGACCTGTTACGAAAGGGACACTAAATGGCAAGGAATAAAGAGTTGGACAAGTCCGGTGGACCTAGGAAGGATCAGCACTAATCAGAAACAAGCAAGGCTTCCAACAATGGGCAAAGCAGTCCCGGTTCAGGACAAGGACAAAGGAAACAGGGGACATGAACAGGGTTAACTCAAGGGAGCGATGGAGAATGGACACTCAGGTCGAATGAGGAGGTTTTAAGGTCGAGGATCAGACAAAATAAACAAGCATAAATTGCCACAGCCAAAGATTGATAACACAGAGTCAGATGGACGGCCCCAAAGGACAAGAAAAGGGTGTAAGGACAGACTTAAAGAGAGGCTGGAATACGGGTTCGCAGGCTGAGGGTTTAGGGTTTAGGGTTTAGAACAGGTTTCCAAAAAAGGGGGAGAAATAAATTGGGAAAGGGGTCATCATGCACCACAGGCAGGGCAGATGAGGGGGGAGGACACAGGCCGGCAGGAACAAAGGCTGAACTCTTTCTAGGAGATATAGTACTATATGGCAGATCTGTACTCCAGATCTGAGAGGAAAGAGAGAGGCACGGCAAGCTGACAGTCAATCCTCCACCAAGGTGGAGCAATCAATGCTGTTCAGGGGTCCTTCGGCCAAACGGAAGGAAGCGTGGTTAAGTTTCATTGTAATGTGCATCTTGACTTGCTGGTGGAATAGGAACCGGACTGACGCTCCCCAGAATAGAAGGAGCCAGGACCATAAGGCCCTGTTTAAAAAAAAAAAGAGTTGATTCATGTGGATCAATGTTGTGGATGGATGGAGATTTGGGTTGGTACGTTCTATCGGGAAGGAGGTGAAGACTCCTGAGAAGTCTGCGCCAGGAAGTCTGCGGTAGTTGTGTCAGGGAGAGAGAGGGAGTGGGGCTGGAAGGATCAGAATTAAGGGAGCTCATTGCTAATTTTGTACAAACAGAAAATAGATATCATTGGTCAAATCTTTCATCTAAACTAGGCAAATTTGCAATGAACCTCGTAGTTCAACACCAATGAGTGCACATATTCACACCACATGCATGTACGAGTTCACGCGAAATTCACACTGGAGACAGAGAGATGAAGACCAGGTAGAGCAGCTTATCTTTTCCAGAAAGTATTACAAGAGCAATAAGAGTTCAAAGTCACCAGCGCTCATCAGCGCGTGCCAATAGGTAACCAATAATCAGCATAAACTCTCAGGTAAGTATCTCTTCCCCGCTGCTCTTCCCTCTTATGTATTTCTCCACCTTGCTGGTCTTCTCCCTAGCTATGACCTCACTGTGTCTTCTCTCCCTACACACATTCACACTCACTATCTACTACTTCATGGATCTACTCTGAATACACCAATTGTCAACTCTACTAACCCCTCTGGAGTCTACTACGAACAACTAGCACTAACACTTCTGCACTGGCGCAGCTATGGCTGCCTTCTCCCTGCCAGCGCTATCTTCTCCTCTCTCCCTCACTTAGCGCAGCACTCTGGCCTCAGCGCTCTGCCCCTCACATTAGCGCACAAGTGCACCAGCACTTCCACACTCTTTGCGAATGAGCAATCTGCCTGAATGTGAGGCTGGCCATTCTTTTTGTAGTCTTGGTTTGCACTTCAACTCGTGCCAACCTCTGTTTCTTGGGTCCTGACTGGTTCCGGTACCACATTCCCATGGCCTGTCTGCTTCTGAATGTCAAAGCCTGGAAACTTCCCGAATTTCCATTGGATTGCTGCTGCTTGGGCCTTTGAGTCATGACTTTTCACTTGTGAACACGACTTTTGACTGTGGACAGTGACTCCTGCCTGTGGGTCACGACTTTTGCCTGTGATACTGCCTTTTACTGGTGGGATGTGACTCTTCAATATGACTTCTCATTAGGAAACGTGACTCCTGCCCTTGAGACAGGACCCTTGCTTGTGAATCTGCCTTTTCACTCGTGGGGTGTGACTCTTCTGAATGGCTTTTATTACGAGACGTGACTCTTGTCCCTGAGATGCGACTGTTTGCTGGGTGCCTGTTGGACCAGACTGCTGAGGTACCCGATTGTGACTTTTCTGAGTTTGACGAACTCGGCCTTTTTCTTGACCTGAGCATCTGACCCTGAGATCCGAATTTGGGGTCTGAATCGTGGAAGGCCTTTCACTCTCGCCAGCCTAAATTCGAGGTCCTCCGAGAAAATTAACAATTTTTATCTATCCACTATGTTAACTCCTCTCTTAGCTCTTTCATAGTATCACACAATATGCGGTGCTGTTTCTATTAGTTCATCTCTCGTGAACCAGCGATCTTCTGTAGGTTCTTGATAGGCAAATCTGACCTTATATTGTCGCTGTGGTCTACCCCTGCGTCCAGATCTGTAAACATCTTCCCCAACAATTCTATCCACATCATACTTACCGTCCATATCGGGGGGAATCATAAATCTGCGTGATGGAAACATGTCATTACTAACGCAAGGCAATAACTTTGAAGCGTGGAACACCGGATACGTATGCAAATGTGGAGGAATCTCAACAACATAGGAAGGACCATCAACATCACCAATCACATCAAGAATCTGCCAGGGTCCTCGATAAGCAGGTAATAACTTCTGAGAAATGTTCTCCTCGGGGAGAAACTCTCTTGCTTTAAGACAAGTAAAACATAAAGCACTGGCTGTGTCGGCAGTTAATCAGCATTCATGTAGCAGTTCTCAACTTGGATGTAAATACGGTGTTTGGGTCATTTGGCAAAATCTTCAGGGCATAACAGCTAGCTAGATACACGAAACATGTACCTACCTAGAAGCTCAATGGTACTGACACGTAACAGATCAAGAGTTCAGATGCTGATGGGTACAGTAGCGTTAGGGGCCAACACTCTTTTATTAGAAAAAGAAAAATACATGAAACATTGAAACATAGATTGCTGGCTGTACCTGCAGTTGATCAGCGCTCGTGTAGTAGTTGAGGTTGATGCTTGTAAACACCATTGACTCGGGGTCTAAGCTCCGGAGCTTGTCCCTCATCATGCATGTTTTTCCAGTGCCCGCATTGCCGACGAACATGACAGGACGTTTTAGATCCACCAATCCATTTAGCAAGAACATTAAGCGTGTTGTGTCCACCGTTGGAACAAAAATGTTTCCCAGCCCGTCATCCAGAGGTGCACTCCGGTCGACCTATCAGCCAGCGACGAATACAGAAACTATCAAAAGATATAAGCATCTGAAAAAACAAGTTCGAAAGAAAAGAAGGCAGAGAAAAATTTGAGCAGGTCCGACTCCGTGTGGGTATTTATTGTGCATTCATGACTGAGTGGTGGAAAAGGCACCAGACTGATGCTCCCAAGAACAGAAAGAACCCACGACCTCCACACCCTGCTTTCAAACTTTTCTTTTTTATAATGCAAAGAAAACTTTCCCAGGCATTGCAACAGCAGCTTGTGAACTAGGCATTGCAGAAACATAGCAGCTATTTGCAGCAGTTTCATTCCTTAAACCACTAGTACATCTGAGAAAGCAGATTGAGCAGCGCCTAAAAATTCGGAGACCATGGACCGTCGATAAAATGAATTGGCGGTTCATGACCTCCTATTTTTCAGGAGAGACTCAATCTCCTTTTTCGAATGTACTGGTGGTTTAAAATGGTGAATTTACAAGGTGGTACTTCAAGTCAGGGAGTTGTCTTTCAGTAATGACCAGATGAGGGTGTGCCAACCCCCTGCTAAGCCTTCAAAGAGTCTGGACTTCTGAGGTGATTTCAACCGCCGGTGCCTCTGTTTTTTTTTTTTTTTTCTCAGTGAGATTAATGTGGGAGAGGACTTAGAGTACCCGGCAGCAAAAAGCTGAGAGAGAGGGAGGTTAGAAGATAAATCCCACAGAACTCAAGAAGTACGCAAGTTCATACAAGTTCCTTGTTATGACCGAGTTGAGCTGTGTAGGAACAAATTTTAAGCAAACCCTTGATGCCAGCCCCAGACATCAGCTCTAGCTTTCAGGTTTACCCGACAGCACTCAGCTGAGAAGAGCTAGGAGCTAGGAGACTCAGAGGATCAGAAGGTAGAAGACACAGGCTAACTTAGGCAGGGGTGAGGGGTGGTACATCCTTCCCTAGGGAAGTAATCAATGCCGTCCACTCGGGCCTCTCATCCATAATGGGGAGGAGCGTGCGCATGTATTCATTGCATTCATATTTGACTCGCCGGGGGAATAGGAACCGGACTGTTGCTCCCCAGAATGGCAGGAGCCAGAACCGAGAGGTTCTGTATTTGAAAAAAAAAAAGTGGGAGAGGACTTGGAACGAAATAACAGATGCTGGACAGTGTTTTACAGTCAAAATCCTGGCTGCCAGCGTGTGATGCACAATGTGTTTGTAGCCCATTCGCCACTAAGCCGAACTCTGAAGTTTATTAAGCTATGAGTAGATCATTCTTCCATAATGCTAAAGGGGAAAAAAAAACGCTACGTGCTTTAGATGTTGCCTAATTAACAAGCTTTAGTTTGTTCAACTTTTGCGGAGCGATCTCAACCACTTTCAAATCTGGAAGTCGAAACCCAAATGTACTCCGTACTTGCTGTTTTTCTGTTCATTTAACTTTACTCGTTTCTGATCTTTCTTTGATAAGGGCTGTGATTGCCTCAGCTTACTTCCTCGCGTTCCAGGTATAAGAGAGGTAAATACCATCAGGGCGTAAAAGTGAGGATCTGGATGGGGAGGAGTCTGTTGGCAGCATCCTCTCTTGCCTAGCCTAAGTGGGGTACGGAACATAGGAGTGGGTATCACGCATCCTGAGAGAGCCTTCGTGCCATCAGGGCGGTAGGAGGGCAAACTGCTCAAGAGATGGTGGCTTGTTTGTGATAAGTCTTGCTGGAGGAGGGAGTTGGGGTAGGTTGGTGGGTCTGTCTCTCCTTCACGTTGTATTCGTCAGTCTGTTCCTCACTGTTCAAAAGCTTTTCAAAAACTATTCAGGATTTGGCTATGGGCCTATGGCATGTTTTCTTGCTAACATCAAGCTCGCTCACTGAAAGGACGGAGGGTTGTTCATGAAGCATGCAGAATGATTTGCATGCTGCTGCCTACTGTCCACTTGATTTTTGAGGTAATGACAGATGCTGCGCTGCATTCTGTGTGCTGGTCCTAGTTGTCCATGGGGGGAAAAGAAAAGAAAAGAAGGATTTGCGAAGTCTCTTCTAAAATCCAGCAGGTCTTAGCAAAAGCTGGGTAAGGGCCCCAGTATGTCAATTGATCTGTTAACTTTTCACAGGGACGCTGGACCCGGTTCCCAGTACGTGCTTCTCCCCACAAATAGATTGGAGCAAGTTCCAAAACAAAAAAAAAAGGAAAAAAAAAGGGCTGCTTCTTTAGTTATGAAGGAGGTAATAGGAGGATATTAGAACTTGCCTTCTCTGCCCAAGGGGCCATCTCCACAGTCTCCGTGTTCACGTAGTAGTCAAAAACATACCCTTTATCTGGAAAAGGAATTTGTCGCCATTCTAACTTCCACCAATTGCTGAACTCTAATCTATGGTCCTTTGTCTTATCCGTGAGCAAGGCACCTCCTAGACCCCAGAGACATGAGAACACAAACAACAGCTCATATAGTTTCTTGCTTGCATTATCTGTCCCTGAACTCAACTGGTACTTCACATGGCCAACTTTGGAAAGCAGGCTTTCAAAGATGTAGCAAACAGTAGACACCTGTACGGCACCACAAGAAAGAGGAGGGTTCACACATAAGGAGAGGGAGTCATAAAACCAGGCACAGTGAAAGCACCAACTTGGTCAGATGGACACGAAAGGTGTTGTTCTCCACTTACCAGGGTCAGGCATGGGATCACGATGACCTGAACTAAGGATCCTTAAAATTGCAAGAAAAAATATACCCATTATGGGCCATTAAGAGATTGTTTTTTTTTTGTTTTTTGTTTTTTGTTTTGTCATCAACACCAAGTCCCAGATAATCCCTCGTCAAATGTCTGAAGCCCAATGTCGAGTCTGGATCCAATGTCACCAAGCCCGCTCTCTCGTAGTCTGCTGATGCAGTGACGTCAGGTAGCGAGAGGGTGAGAGGGAGATGGTGGACTGAGAAGAGGAAGAAGAAGAACTCTCTCTCTCTCTCTCAGATGGGTAGATTCTAGCGACGAATCTGTACGCTCGGGTAGGCTGGGTTTGGGATATTAGTACACCCCAGTCCCCTGATTTCCACGAGAAGTCCTCCCTTAAGAGGGGGAGCCAGTGTGACGGGATGCTATTTTGGATCARCGTTAAGTTTTCAGGGAGGGAGTGGCAGCCTTTGAGGACATTGCATAGTTCTTGATCAGTGGTCCATCGTCCTTGGTCTTCTTCCCAGATGTGTCTGACTTGCCACACCCCTTTTTCAACCCAGGATAGCCACCTGCGGTCTTTGGGGCGTAGGGTCCATTCCGCGCCKTTGGGGTCGGTGATCCAGGGGTTGCAGAACAGGGGTTGTCTYAKAACCTCTTCTCTGTTTCTTGGTGCACCGTGTTTGCTTGGCATCATTCTACGCCAGGCTTTGATGGTGGGGGTCCAGTATGACCTGGCTGTTGGAGTGGGGTTTGTAGGCTGTGCGGGGTTTCTCCTGCGTGGCCTGCCCGATTTTATTGTCCAGTTCTTAGCCATGAGCCAAAACAGYCCGTTCATGTTTGGGGGGGAGTTGATGGGGGCTAGGTTTCTGATGCTGTCTAGCGCCATCTGAGTCCATGGGAGGAACTGACTAATCAGGATCTTGATGATCCACTTCATCTGCAATGCTATGGCTTCCTGTTTGGGGTCGATGATTCTGAGGCCCCCTTCCTGAGGTCTTCTGGTGATGTGGTTCCATGCTACCTTGTTGATGCAAGTGGTCCTGTTAGGATCGCCTGTCCACAGGTAGCATCTCACCCTGTTCTTCAGCTTTTTGATGTCGTCGTCCGGGGGGGACCAGATGGATGCCATATACCACAGTGTGGAGAAGATCGTTGTGTTAATTAACATCGTCCGTCCTATTAGAAAGGCCTGAGCCTTTTTACATTGGGCCAGGCGGGTGATTGCCCTAACAATTAGGTTCTGGCCCATTCCTGGCCATACCCCTTCCTTGTTTATCATAATGCCCAAGAACCTTAATGCTTGTTCTCCCGTAGTCCATGTCATGGTTGTGGTTGTGTCTGCTGGTTGGGGAGGGGTGTCGTCTGCTAGCCACCACCCTTCGGTTTTATTCCAGTTGACCCTCATCTCTGACRCTAGTCTGAAAGCTTCCATTGCCCTTACTAGAGCTTGGAAGGAGCTGTTACTGGCGCGAATGAGGACAGTGAGGTCGTCAGCGAACATGAGTGTAGTGGGAAGGTCGAAGTCGTGTAGTGGGTTAAAGTTCCGTTTTGTGAGGTTATCGATGGATGGGTCTTTGCTGAGGAAGGAGGCTATGGCTTCCATAATGAAGAGAAATATGGGCGGAGCCAATGGGTCGCCTTGTCTGACTGATCGCGAGATTGGGTAGGTGTCGGATAGGATTCTGTTGACCTGGACTTTGCCTGTTGCATCAGCATATAGCACTCTAACCCAATTCCTAAAGTTCGAGCCTACCCCCATTTTCTCCATGCATGAGTGGAGGAAATCCCAGTTAACCTGGTTATAGGCTTTCTCAAAATCGAAGAACAGGATTGCAGCTTTCATTCGTTTTTCTGTGATCTTTTTTGCTGCCTCGTTCAGGGTCATAACGTTATCCAAAATGTACCTGCCTGGCATAAAGCCTGCTTGGTCGATGTGAAAGCAGTTGTTTGTTAACTTCGCGATTCTGTTTGCGAGTGCCTTAGCTAGGATTTTGTAKGGCGTGGTCAATAGAGATATGGGTCTGTAATTTTTCAAGTCTTCTTTGTTTCCTTTCTTATACAGTAGTGAGACCACGCTGGTGCTGATTTCTTTTCCTAGGCCTCCTCTGCGCATGCTCTCGTTGAAGAAGTCAAGCAGATCTTCTCCCAGGATCGGCCAGAAGCAGCTCCAGAATTCTTTGGTTAGTCCGTCGATACCCGGGGCTTTGTCATTTCCCATCYGAGTCAAGGTTGTGTGTAGTTCGGCCAGGGTCAGGGGCTTGTCAAGGCCTTCCGCCTGATCGGTCGAGATGGTTCTGTCGAGGTACGAGAGCATGAGTTGGCGAGTTGTTGTGTTCGCTGTGCTCGGGGGTGACGGTGTCTTGGACTCGTATAACTCTGCGTAGAATGATCTGGCTATCCTTACCATCTCGGGGCCTGATGTTTTAGTGTACCCCGAATCTGTTGGATCTTGGAGAGCCTCTATCATGTTGTTCCTTGCGTTCGCTTTGATTTTGGAGAAGAAGAATTTTGTCATTGATTCATTGAGTGCGTAATCTGTCATCCTAGCGYGGATCTGCAAACCTCTCAACTCCCATCTTCTCCACTCGTTCAATTCGTCTTTGGTGTCGTCTAGTAGCTCTTGGTAGAATCCACTGGAGGGATCTTCTGCCAGGTTTGCTTCTGCAACATCTATTGCAAATTGGAGTTCTTCTCTTCTCCTCTGCGGTCTCTGGCGGTATCTCGGGATTCTGCTGATACTGTCTGTGTAATTGTGCATAGATGTCGATGAACCATTGGTGGCTGTTCGTTTTTTTGGACTCTCTCTATTTGTTGAGGGCCCAGTTTTCTATGACTGTCGCGGGTTCTTTCGGTTTTTAGGAGAGGGAGTTATTCAGCCTGAAGAAACCCTGGCCTGTATCCACTGGTACATTGAAGTTGAGCAGCAATTGGATGGGTTTGTGGTCTAGCCCTTTGAAAGCTGTCGAGGGGAGGATTTCGGCCTCTTTGACTGTGCCAAGTAGGCTCTCGGAGATGAGGAAGTAATCTATCCTGGATAGAGATGTCCGGTTAGCTTGGTTTTTCCTTATCCGGGAGAACACTTTTTTTTCCGGGTGCTGCGATCTGAGAGGGTCGATGAGTTCGAACTCTGTCATCARATTTCGAATCTGGGTACCTGCTCTTGTGGGTCCCATTAGTGCTGCTCTAGAGATCCGGTCCATGTTTGGGTCCAGGGTCGTGTTCCAGTCCCCTGCGATGACAATAGGCTGTGGATTGGGGATGAGAGTCTTGATGTTCTCGAGGAAAGTCA